ACTTGCACAATGGGCATGGACTTAGCATGGACTACCCGTCTTTCCATACGTTGATATAATAATTTATCGAGATATTTCTGTATTTTAATTTGAATATAACAATTTTTTAATGTTCGTGTTCTAAAAATAGATTGACAACCAAAGATTGAGATCGTCTAAAGCAGAGATAAATCATGTGCCCATCAGCCAATCAAATTATAGAATTTTGATAATCACCGGCGAAGCAGTGAGTCAAAACCTGCTTTGGGTAGGTTAAACAAAAATATCGTGAAGGCAATTTTATATATATATAACTATCTAAACCTAATCTAACCCTAAAGTTAATTCAATAAATATTAATTATCTTCGCTTTAGACATGATGTTTATTCAATAATTGATAACAAATTCAGGGTTAAAATTTGGGGTTCACAGACAAATAATCACTATTTCTCAAAATGGAAAACCCCCTTCAACAGGTTTTCCTAGTCTATTTACTAAAGATGGCAAGTATTTTAAAACACAATGTTTTAAATCAGTTTTATATTGTTCTAAAAAGTGGTTTATTGTTTTAAAACAAATATCAAGTGACTTGATTATCATATATTCGATGATTACAAAATAATTACCTATGAAATAAATGTCATCGATTAAATTAAGATGGTCCAATTATATATAGTAATTTTCAGTTTTAGTTATCAACCGCACAATCAACAATGTTTTAAAACATGATTTAAAACAATTCAAAAATCATTAAAAATTATTAAAAAATGTTTTTTTGCTATCCCTACTATTTACCCAAATAAGTATTCCAGTATTGCTTTGCTGCATGCCTATTGACTATTTGGGCTTTGGGCATATCATGTTCCTGGGCACGCCCTTTTACCTCATGCCATTCACTCTATATATTATATTGTATAGGAGAACCTATAAATAAAAATTAACGTATATATAGCGGTAGTGATAACGTTAATTTTTTTTTACAGGCTTTCCCTGAGCATTACACATCTTTAAATAATGAACATAAGAAACTAAAAATTCAATACACAACCCAAGATGAATGCAACTAGCAATGACGAGGTGAGATTTGTTATGCGAATCCACTTGGTATTGCCTGCCGAGTAAGCGGCTGGTGCAAGTTACGCTGCAGAAGTGAGCCTGTACATGGCTGTTTCCCTACAGGAATCGCCTGTGTAGACCGGTTTGCGGAGTCCAGCGTGAGTAGGCTCGAAAGTGGTGAGACCCCAAACACGATGATAGCACGATATGCTAATATTATTTTGCTTTGCTTTGTTTTAGAATGTTACTGAAAATCCGCGCTTGCGTTTTAAGAACAAGATGCGTAATCTGGTAGAAGAGGTGAGATTCTTTATGCGAATCCACTTGGCATTGCCTGCTGAGTGAGCGGCCGGTGCAAGTTACGCTGTGGGAGTGAGCCTGTACGTGGCCATTTCTCTACAGGAATCGCCCGTGTAGACTGGTTTGTGGAGTCCAGCGCGAGTAGGCTCGAAAGTGGCGAGACCCCAAACACGATGATGGCACGATGTGCTAATATTATTTTGCTTTGCTTTGTTTTAGAATGTTACTGAAAATCCACACTTGCGTTTTAAGAACGAGATGCGTGATTTGGTAGAAGAAGAGTATGAAATAAACGAACATTTCACCACCAGTACAGTGTCTAACGATCGCGACAAAGATATGATTCTGAATGATCGAGTGTTCTATGTCCACTTTCTCCTTACATGTAAATGGTGTAATGTCAGAAAAGTCCGTTACAACGACGTTGAACGAACTTTGGCCGTTAGTAGGATGTACGATGTCCAAGGAGTAATAGTTACGAATATTAGATTTACTGAGAAAGCTATCATGGTGGCGAAAGAACATGGAGTGATTCTTGCTATGCCAAACACGCTTTTAAATAAGCTTCGGTTTCGAATTAGAAATGTGATTGACAACATTGACACAGAGATTCTTCTCGAAGTTACAGAAGATGAAGATGAGGATTAAAGATAATAGGTATGCGTTTGTAAAAAAAAAAAAATCTTGTATGATCGCAATTGTAAGAGCAGATATACTAATCACCAGAATCGTAACAGAGGTCCGCTGCATTTATAAGTGATACGTATACTCATAACAGTATCATGTTTGGAAATGTAGAGTTTAATTAGCGAAGGTTAGGGATAAATCAGTAAGGGTACTGACTTTTAATAAAAGAATAGTTTTCATACTCTACTGAATTCTAGAAATTTCTGCTCCTGCTTCACCCTGCCAAAATTTTAGGTTCAATAATCAGAATTCAATCTAAATTAGGTTTAACGTTTGGATACCTGAATCTTGATTTAAAATATCCGGGCAGTTGAGTACGTATAAGCAGAATTTAAAGTATAATCAGCTGTGTAAGCGGCCGATTATGCTTTACTACAAAATTCTGCTTATATCAACTACACAGAATGTAACTAACTTTCATGTACTTATTTTAGATTGAAACCT